AATTTATACTAATCAATTATATTGAATGATTATTAAATGGTAAATCAATTTGAATTCCTGAAACAAGCCCAACTTGATCTGCTATAGTATCCTTTTTTATATTGTTGAATTTGACAATATTTTGTGTAGGTTTTTGGTTACATGCTCATATGAGAGAGATTGGCCTGCTTTTTGTGGTTGTTCTTGTCTTGGTTTTGGTGTCAATGTTATGCTCACTTCGTAAAAAGGGGCCAGCAGTGTTCTTTCTTCTATACTTCTTTACTCTGTAAAATTGATGTTATGAATTCCTTTAGTTTTTGGAAGAATTCTCCAGTAAAGTGCATGTGTGTGACTTTTTCTTTATGGGTGGGTTTTAATTATGGAGCCAATTATTTTAATGGCATGGAAACATATTAAGAGTTTCTATATTCTTCTTTCTTCAGTTTTGGTAGGTTGTCTATGTCATCTAAATTTTCCATCAATTTGAGTAAAGTTGCTTATACTTTATCTACTTAATGTCTATAGTGAGGTCTCCCATTGTGCAGTCATAATATTGGTACCTTTTCCTCCTATTTTTTTCTTGATCAGTTTTGTGTAGGATTTATGAATTTGAAGGTTTTGCAAAGAACAAATCCTGGTCAATTAAAATTATTTTCATTGCATATTTACTTTTTACTTAGTTGTTTCTGCTATTACCAGCATTTTCTTTTTATCTAATTTCTTTTGGCTATAATTTTCCCTCCACGCTCTGCATTAGCTACATTCAATAGTCTTGATGTATTTTCCAACTTATAAATATATATTTAATTTATTTCTCCATACATCTACTGAATCTATAATATATTTAATTTATACACAAATTTTTATAAAAATTTCCTTAAGATCTGTGATTTGTTTATTATATACTGTCTAATTTCTAAGCATTTATAATTTTCTAATTACTGTTTGATTATTGACTTCTAACCTAATACCACTGAGGCTCAAGAACATACATGGCATGATTTCAACCCTGTAAAATCTGTTGAGACTTGCTTTGTAAATCTGTATATGGTCAATTTGTGCCACTTGGAAAGAATGTGTGTTTCACAGCTGTTTCATGCTGTGATCTCCTGTGTCAGTTAGATCAAGTTTGTTATTTATGTTTTTCAATACTGCATATCTTCACTGTGATGGTGGACCTTTTACTCATTTCTTCCTTATTGTTCTATCTGATGGGTTTTCTACACTTTGGGTCTGTGTTATTAATGGAATATCATTTTAATATAATTATATATTCTTGGTGGATTAATCCTTTTATTATAAAATATTATTGTCATTATAAAACATCCCTCTTTAGTTATGCTCTCTTTTCTTCATGACACATTAATATTAATATGGCTACCCACATTTTCTTTAGGCTAGTGTGTGCATGGGGATATATCTACTTCCATTCTTTTCTTTGAAATCTTTCTGTATACCCATATTTTAGATATGCTCCTTATTTCCAGAATTTGCCTGTTTTCTATTTGTCTTAACTTCTATGATTCTTTTTGTTTCATTTTATCATAGTATTCAACTATGTCTCCATATCCTTTGATACTTTATATTTCAAGAGATGGAGTTTAATTCCCTGTTCCTAATGTGGTCTGGACTTAGTGACTTGCCACTATCAAGTAGAATAAGGCAGAAATGCTAGTGAGTGATTTTAAAAGACCAGATCATAAAAGCCATGCACCCACCATATCCTGATAACATGCAGGCAACCCTGGGGGGAGACATCTGCAGTGAGGAACTAAGGCTTCCTGCCAAGAGGCTTCTGAATCATTCATCATGAACGCAGGTACTTCATCCCTAGTCAAGTATTCATCTGATGGCAGCCATGATACCTTCCCAGCAATCTCATGGGAGAGTTTGAGTTAGAGTCACCCAGACAGGTTATTTCTGAATTCCTCATTCCAGAATTTAGGGAACATTAAATGTCTTATTGTTCTAAGCTACTAAGTTTTAGGGAAGACTTATTACAAATCAGTGGGTAGCCAACAAATATTTACTGCCTTACCTGGAAAAATTATTTCTTATTATTCTTTTGCTCTGTTACATGTTAGTTATACATTCTTTTACTCTTATTAGTTACTCTTAATGTAAATGAGCACACTTTAACTTCATTTATTTCTTGTTGCCTTTATAGTTATGTTTTACATGTATTTTAATTTTCTCTATAAATCTTAAACCTCCCAAGACATTTTTAGTCTTTTATAGCCATGTATTTTAACATTTCCATCTCTCTCCATTATGTCATGCATTGTATCTTTCCAAATGGCATAATTTTCCTTCTACCCAAAGAATCCTTTTCATAATTGTTCTTGATTGATGATAAATTCTTTGTCATCAATTGATCAAAATATTGATTGATGACAAATTCTATTGTGGTTGTCTGAAACCATTTTTATTTTGCCTTAACTTAAAAATTTTTTTCACTGCATCGTGAGTTCTAAGTTTTCAGTTATTTTCTTTCAGCACTTTGAAGATTCCTCTCAACTGTTATCTGGCTTCTATTTTTCCTGTTTAGAAATCACTGTCATTCTTATGTTTGCTCCTTTCAAGGCAGTATTTTTTCCCTCTCTGTCTGATTTTAAGAGTGTTTCCCCACTGTGGTTTTCATTTTCAACACAGTTTTATTATAATGTAATTAGTTGCAATTTCTTAGTATTTACCCTGTTTGGTACTTGTAGCACTTTTTAAATCTTGTCTCTTGTCTCCTTCATTAGTTGTAGTAATTAGTTGCTATTATCTGTTTGAATATTTTCCTATCTGTTTCATTTTTTTTTTTTCTAGTGGTACGGGGTTTTGAACTCAGGGCCTACACCTTGATCCAATCCACCACTAGCCCTTTTTGTGTTAAGATAAGGTCTGTTGAACTCTTAACCCCAGGCTGCCCTGGAACTTCAATCTTCCTAATCTCTGCCTCCTGAGTAGCTAGAATTATAGTCGTGAGCTACTGGCACCTGGCTCCTACCTGTTTCTTTTTTTTTTTCTTCCGGAATTTTGATTACATGTACCATATAATGTTGCATGAACTTATTATCTGTTGTGCTCATTTTGCCTTGCATATTACATTTCTTATGTCCATTCCTAAATGTGCCATTTAAAAAATTGTATTCCTGTCTGTTTTTCTCACCTATCTTCCAATTTATCTTTTCAACTATTTCTCATTTACTATACATTCATTTGTTAAGTTCCCAATTTCACTCTAATTTGTTAAGTTTCCAATTTTTTAGTTCCAGAATGTCCATGTTTTTCTTTTTTCTTAAGTCCAAAGACTCTCCTGAGTGTCAAGGCAGCCACCTAATTTCTTGGATTTATTGATGACACGTATTTCAAGGTCCATGCCGGATAATCTGTCAGACTGTTTCTCTTACCTGTGATTTAGCTTGGTTTTCTGTTATTTGTTCATGTCTTCTGGTGTGCAAGATGTTTTTACTTCAACACCAAGCATTGTGCATAATCGTGCTGAGATAATTTGACACTTGGTGTGTTCTGGAGGGCAGTTAAATTTAGAATAATTTACCATAAGCCATGCAATATTGAGGTGATTGGAGCCTGGGTTTCAGTATTTCCGAGGCTATACTCTCAAGTGTAGCTCTTTGAGCAACACAACTGAAATCCTTGGTTCTTTACCAAGGTAAAGAAAAAGGTGTTTCTTCATTCTTTACAAGTAACAGAAATTTCTTAGTATCTCAGCATCTTGGGGTAACAGAAAATTCCTTAAGAAGAAAAAATAAAGTTAAAGTCAGATATCTGACTCATTACACTCTTACATCTTCCTATTTCCCTTTCTTTCCAAGACATTGTATCCCTAAATCACTGCTACCTTGGCTGGATGTCTTCAAAGACACACCACGCACATGCATACACACAGTGAGGGTTTTAGAAACTGTTCTCTGTTGTTGTGTTGATCTCTACCACAGTATTTCATTACTAGAAGTAGAAATCTTTCAAAATCTGATGGTCACATACTGAATAACTAACTTTACCTTACTTCAAGGTAGTCTTTTCTAGTACTCTTCTGAGAACAAGGTTTATGAAAACCTAAGTCACACTTAGGACTTCAGTAAATGTTTAATTAAGATGAAAGTTTCCAGACTTCAGTTTCTTTATTCTGCATTCATTTCATAGTTATGTTAGTCTATGTATGCTTAAGTTAAGTGAAAGTTCAGAATTGAATCCAATAGTGAATTTAGACACCAGATTAACATGTAGGGACCATGACCATTAAGCTGTAAAGCAGTGCCATCTGGTTCCTACACTGTATGCAACTTTGGGGCCATTGTTTATGCTTCTTCAAGTTCTGGAGGCCCTGGAGAAGTGGTTCTCTGTTAAATCTTCCTCTTTTTTTCCTGACTTTGGGTGTTTTCTTTGTCAATGTGACCAGCTAATTTAAAATCAGAGTTATGGTATTTTCACAATAACATGAATTCTGGCTCAGACCTGTACCTTTAAAATTCAGCTACCATTAAAGGGATTTGAGCCTTTTAATATGCTAGAAACTGAGTTGAATCCTCCATTAAAGGTATTTCTTTACACAAACTGAAGGACTCAGTGTTAAAACAGAGATGGGGAGACTAATAGGCAATTCTGAAAGAACTACCCGTTAAATGTAAATACAGTGCGTTTTAAAGTGACAACCCAAAGGCTGAAAATGACTCTTTGATCTTTAAAAGGCTCATAAACAGGGTAGTGCACTTGCAGACCTGTATTTATGTATTCAAGTATGGGAGGAAATCCAAGCAGAGTCTCAGGACGGCGGGAGTTTGCAGTATAGACAAAAAGAGGCCAGGGAGGAAGGCAATTACATCAACTTTTTTTTAAGGATGAAGCAAGCTTTTCTTTCCCTGCATAGGTGTGTTGAACCAATGAACTAGAATCTTGGTAAGGG